CCTGAGTCCTCAAATCACAAAGAAGTAAGAACTCAAAACTATTGCAATCTTAAGAGACATAATAGCAAGAGCTATAATAATCACACATACAAATGGCACCCTTATATCCAAAGGTACACCTCTTCTTGATATGCCAACCTTATAACCGAAGGTACACCTCTCCTTGATATGCCACCCTTATCCCATGGTACACCTCTCCTTGATATGTCACCCTTATTTCCTTATCAAAATCTATGGATTTGTTCCAAACGAAGACAGACCGAAGTCACAACGTCTTGATGGAACAACCTCTATAGTTTTAACCACCAAAATCTATAGATTAATTCCAAACAAAGACAGACCAAAGTCACAACCGTTTTGAAGGAAAATCCTCTATAGTTTTAACTAATAATGGTTTCAAAATAGTTTTATCTTCAAAACTTTGAAACTCAGAAACCAACTGTTCTTTCAATATCATTTCCAAACCCAAAATCTTCTTTAAATTGGATATCATCCATAATTGTTTTAAAGAAGCAAAATCTTCTTTATTTCCCAAAAACAGTTTCCACAACCCAGATTCATAAAGCTTAATTTAAACTGTCAAAAACAGTTCATACCATTCTTCTTTAAAATCGATCATCAACATCAAGTATTTCAAATAACATTATTCAAATGATTTAGTAACAAAAACTCATCTTATTATGCATAGATTTGAAGATTTAAATCACATAGCAACTTCTTCAAAGATTCCCAAAATCACCAAATCACTTTTATGCAAGATTCCTTCTTCAAGAAAAACTTCACCCCCTTACACACACACACTTTTCTTTCTTTCTTACAAAGATCTCTCAAAAGCATCCTCAGATTATCCTTATCTTCTCTATTTATATTTTTGATCAAGGCGGTGTGTGTTTAATAATATAAAACTCTTTTGGGCGTTGGATGTTTATTATATTTTAAACCTTCTTTCCCTTAACCATGAAGGTTGCATAACCATATATTAATAATATTTTTCTGTTATGCATCTTATCATATGCGTACACATATTTTTTTCACTTTCTCATGTATGCACAGTATCACATTTTCACACATATATACACGATTCATGCATTTATTTAAATAAAATGCATGTCACACATATTTCACAAAATAACCACATAAAAGTTACCTCAACCAATGTTGTCTGAAATCCAGGTCATCACAGAGTCTTTATTAGGAGCTCTTTTCTTCTTTTTTACAAGGAGTAAGTATGACAATGCCACTGAACTTTGTACCTTTTTAGGGATTTGTATGTTGAACTTAAAAAACATGAACTCCTCTCAAGCATGACCTAATAATGTCTTTTTTTTGAAGTATATAATATTTATATACGGCAAATGCAACAAATAAACTCACACACCCTCCTCATCTATGGTGAGGTTTGAACCCCTGACCTCCTAGAAGGCCAAGGGCTACAATACCGCTAGGCCAAAACCCTTTGGCAACTCCTCAAGTTGCCGTCCAATTTTTTCTGATAATCTTGTATTCATCCTTACTCACTCTTAGTCCCGTTAGCACATGAATAATAAAAAGGGAAAATGAAAATGGCGTATAAAGATAGCATTTAGGCAAGATAACTCTTTTGAGTTAACTACTAAGAGTTATTACTACTTGAGAATAGTTGATTGAAGGTGCATGGACTGCAAGTTAATGTTCTCTTAATCCGGATGTCATGGAGCTTGAGCTAGTGGCATGCGGCCGGATGTTATGGTAATTAGAGTCATCTCTCTCTCCAAATCTAATCTTGTATAATGCAAAACACAAAGAATAGTAAACTGGAAGCAAGTACATTGACTTCCGTTATCTGAGGTGATTTAAGAAGGGAGTCATTGACTTCACGAACAACATTGTGACATATTGATCTACCACAAGGCACGAAGGATCTTTATTTGAGTTCAGAGGTCTATTACTTATTTATTTGAACACAAAAACCACCTAGCCAAGTCTCTCTAAGAACATATTTTGCAACTTTCAGCGTAGGATAAAGAATTCACAAGAAACAAGGAAGAAAAGACCAGAAAATCAAGGTTTAAAGCCTGCCATGTTGCCTGGGATTGAGGGAAAAAAGGAGATGATCACTTTTTTCCATCCTTAAGTAATAGAAAGACACAATGGACGGAGAAGCTCTGCGGCTGCATTTTCACTGCTGGTCTCTTTTCGCTGGTTTATGAGGGGAAACAGGCCATTACTCTATGATGACCTTTGCCTGTTGTTGATCTTGGATTAAATACTATTGCATGGGGGCAAGTACTACTCTTATACCTAACTAAATTAAATTCATTGATAGAGTGAAGGTTGACAGAAAATCATGGAAGCTCTAATGATTTTAACGGGGTTACTCAATCTGAAAGCTGAAGTTCATTAATTTGATTAAACGAATTAAATATGGGCTTTAAGTCAGAAAATGTGCCAAGCTCAATGTGTTGGACTATATGCTCATGAAAGTTTTGTGAGAACATCTACTTTAGCGAACCACTCGGCTTTCAATTATAAATAGAAATAATAATTCAAAAGAGATTGGCTATTTAACTTACACATGTTGTTTTGACTTTCTTATGTTTCTTAAAGTGCCTCCCCCGTTACCACCACCTTTCTCAGGAAAGAGTTGGATAGAGCAGTACAAACGCTTTCGGGACAAAAGGRAAGAAATTKGCTGCCCTTCATTCTTATGGATGTTAGCATATCCCTCTGTTCAGGTTAATCATCCATAAACCTTTCATAGATGTTAAAAGTTTCAATTTATGAAGTGTTTGATACCATTGATACAAGTGCCATGTGTTGGTTTCTGTATGGTAGCAAGTTATAGTTTCCTTCCTGCATCATGTATTAACCTCTACAACAAACCTAACATACAGGATTAGGAGCAAATAGACCACTTGGATAATGTTATTATTTTTGTTTTCATCTTCATGCAAATAATTAAATATGCTTGTATTTATATTCTAAAAGAGTAGACAATAGTTTGTTCATTGTGAAACAAATTTAATGGTTTTTGATTTGTGTGAAATGTTTGACAATAGTTGTTTTTTTCAATCTTGCTTGGATGATTTTGATCCCACATAGTACAAGAAGATGAAATATTCTGGTCTTACAGATTCGACTTTGTGTCTGGTTAGAGGTGAGTGATGCCGTCCATAAAAAACACTGTGGTGCTTATGGCGCAATTTGCACTTTAGAGATGGAATGAATTATCTTTACTGTTTATTTCTTCTCTCTCCATTTTCCTTATTTTTCCCATGTTTTTTTATTTTATTGATCACTTGGAAGAACAAATCCTTTGATTTTTTATAAATGCAATATGGATCCTCATGTTTCTTAACATTGAATCCAATGAAATCTAAGGGTGCGTTTGGTTTGCAGGAATGTTTCTGAGGGATTTGGATTTGTAGGAGGGATTTGGATTTGGAGGGATTTGGATTGGATTGGATTTAAAATCCATTCCTGTGTTTGGTTTGCAGGATTTGAACACTTCGAACACTGTCGAGTTTAGGAGCTAGAAGGAGATGAACAAATTTGAAAATGGTGGGAATGAATAAGAAGCAGTCAAGTGAATCAACGATACTATTGTTTTTTTGTTTCATCTCTTGAAATGCAAAATCATCTAGACCACAATTTCAGAAACGTTCTCTTATTGAACACAAAATTCAGCAATCAAAACCCTAAACTAAGTAAATCGAAGCTAAATTATCACCAAACAAATGTTCGATAAAAAAAACAACACCGTTTGAACACGAAATTGAAACAATCAAAACCCTAAACTAGAGTAATCGAAGATTCGAAGCTGAATTATCACAAAGCAAATGTTCGATCACAAAAACAACATCGTTTGAACAAGAAATTGAAACAATCAAAACCCTAAGCAGGACTTTTCCTTTATAAATACCTTGAYTGTAAAATCATGAACTGATGATTTGCCAGCGATAGATGAAGTTGCACCGATTTTTGAAATTTAGATGTACTTTGAAGAAGAAATGGATGATCGATCATTTCTGAGGAGGAGAAAGCCACCRATATCTATTGAAGATCAGCCCCAATTCCAGTTCTCSCAACAAATCTTTTTTCGGGTTGATGAGAGAAGGCGGCGAAGAGGAGGAGAAAGCACCGCTTCAAGCGGGACGACGACGAGGAGAGAGCACCGGATTATCTCCGGCGAGAGCAGTGGGGAGTTGGAGGTTATCTCCGGCGACGAGAGGTGGGGAGTTGGCGGAGACCGGCGAGAGGATGGGGAAAGTGACGAGAAGGTTAGGGCATGAAGGTTAGCGTGGAAGAGGAGATGTCTGAGGGATTTGGATTTCAAAATCCAGCCCATTTACCATGGATTTCAAAATCCCTTGTTTACGGGATTTTAAAAAGTATACGGGATTTTAAATCCAGCCCATTTAGCAAACCAAACATGGGAATGGAATGGATTTTAAATCCAAATCCTCCCAAATCCATTCCATTCCGCCAAACCAAACGCACCCTAAGTGCCTTGAATGGTTGATTTCTTGAATATCAAATTAAGAGTATCACAATGTCAGATGCATATCTTGTAAGTTCCCCATCCACAACCTTAGACCTGTCTAAAGTGGCTATATAATACTCAATGAAATGTAATTGGATGTAATTGAAAAAGAAAAATGGAGGGAAGTCAAGCGCTGTTTCATTTTAGCTGTTCTATACTGGATAACAAGTATATCTGGATTTGAATACAAATGACATTCAAGTTTCAGTAAAGAGATATTGTTTGTATGTTTTCGACCTTTGTCTAGAGAGCCTCAGAAAATGGTGCTCCCATTACATAACAAGCATCTGCCTCTTTTGTTTGATTTTCATTTGCAGATTCCTTGCTTAATCTTGGGGACAGCAAGTGTCCGGCGAATGGCACTGGATCATCATCCTGGATTCGAATGTGTAAGTCAACATATAAAGAAAGTATTCATTTTTGCATATGGGGGATGCTATTTAGCCAATCTTTGTTACCAACATCTTTTAATAGTTTATCTTTCATTTCTTATCTATATCTATCTTTTCGTCTCAATTTTGAAAGACACTGAGAAGAGAGGTGTAGTTGCTATGAACTTACATTAAAATGACTTTGAGCTTGGGTAACTCGATTGTTCAAACAGAGTTTGGCTGAAAACAAATCTATGGCTGTTCAATTTGTTTTACCATTAGTAATTTATTTACTAAGGTTTAGGAAGTTGATATGTGAATATCATTGATGATTTCTGAAGCCTGTATTCTATCAAATTCGTTTCAGGGGGGCACTTTTTGGTTCCAGAATCTGACTGAAATGTCGCAGGGTGCTTCAGGCTACATTTTCCCCCTGCTGTTAGCTTCACTGCATCTTGTCAATGTTCAGGTAATTGACTTCACTTTGATTCCAGCAATGACTGAACCCAAGACTTTCAGCTCTCTCTCTCTCTCTCTCTCTCCAACCATCTTGGTCCTCCATTATCTTGACCAGGAATCTCAACCACCTTTTGCCTTTTTCTGTTAAATAAATCTCCCAGCACATGTGCCGCTACAAGAAAGATCTTTTGTCTATGACAATAATATCATATCCCCTTCCTGATCTTTTAGTCTAGTATATCAAGCTCTGTATGACGTAACTACTGCTTTTCTAGAATTTCAAGGGTTAAAGATGCTGCTTTCTGCCAAAACTGAAGACTTGATTCAGAACAGTTAATAATAAGTTTTGAGCGCTATAAACTCTTTGTAGCTTGATTAAAGACCAATGGCTGTTTGTTAAAAAGCTGAACTCTATTTACTAAATCTATGAGAATGGTGGTGTTTCTCACCTTCTTTAATGGTCTTAGGAGCATTTCAGAACCGAACTCATGGTTAAGTAGTTTTGCTTATTTTTTTTGTTAATGGATATAAACATTTCCTAAATTACAAATGAATTTTTCTTTTTCTTTGAGAAAGCTTAAATTTTTTAGTAATTAAATTACAAATAAAATTTTCTTTTAATCTCTAGCTGATGTAGCAATTACTTTACTCCTGTAGAGGCTGTAGGGCTTTGTCTCATTCAGGTTAATTTATTTTATCTTCTATGCTACTAAAATAGTTCATGATCTGTTTTGATCAGGTTTCGTTTGAGAAGTCTTCATTGACGACCCTCCCAAATTTATTTGGCGTTCTAGCAAAGGTGAGTGACAAAGTCCATGTACCAAATCGTGTTGTTTAAACATGGTTTAATTTTTATATCTTTTGTATTTAGAGTTCATGGTAGCATCATAATGGTGGTCAACCATTGGGATCTTTTATTGTGTTCCTACTTGTAAATATTTAGGTTCATTTGGGGAATATTTCCTTAATGATGTATATTACACAAGAGAAACATGAGTATATGGTACAATAATGAACTAACAAACTAGGAAATGGGCCAAGTCCAACCCGATTAACGTAATTCTATCTTGAACACTATTCCTCAAGTTGAATATCAGATGTCTTCCATTTCCAACTTGACAAAAAAAACAAGATAGAATTTTCAAGGCATTTTATATTGATAGAACTGCAAGTAGACAAAACAATAGCAAATGGCAGCTCAATAGCATAGTAGATTGTAATCCTGATGGCTCCTTCATTTTAACCGATAAGGACTCCTAACTCTGATTACAATAAGCTTCATGTGAACATTTAGAGGTCTTTGCGTATAAACCTCCTCCCTCAACAAGCGCTTGTGAAAAACTTGATAAAAGTTGATGTGAGCGACAACAAAGCGATATCTGGATGTGGCTTGGAAGTACAACAGGTGTTACACCGAGGGTAAATGTGTTTTGTGTAATGCTGATCATGTCAGGTCCAACATATGTTGAYGCGAATCAGTGMCGAACCATATAAAGAGGAGTAGCRAATTCACTACCGCCTCTCCAACATTTTGGATAATTCTAGAAAAAGGATGAAAGCCATAGAAGGGTAATCTTTGCAAAAATTATTTTTTAGGGAAAAAGAAAAATTTAGAAGGTGCAAAATGAAAAATCTAGAAGATAAAAATAAATGGAGAAATCTAGAAATATGAGGAGTCATGTTAGGAAATATCTGAAGTAACTTTATCATCACCTTGAATGAATGTACTTGGTGACATTTGTGGAATAGTCCATGATGGTGGATGTTTCTAGCTCTCTCGACAACATGGAGAAATTAAACATTTACAATTATGGTAATTGGCAGACTTCTATTGTATCTTACTGTGAGGCTCATGAATTATGGAATATCACTGATGAAAGTGAACTGAGATCACCAGGCTCCAAAGGATAAGTGCAAGAATCTCAGGAAATGGAAGAATAAAGCTGGCAAATACTTTTGACACAGTCGAAGTGATTGTCAAGAAGAATATACCCGCGAGTTGAAGACATTGGAGGCATCCAAGGAGGTGTTGGATGCTCTAGAAGCTCTATTTGTGAAATCTTGCATAGGTTGACTTCGACTTCTTGAATAGGGAGCTAGTGATCCCTTCTCAAAAGTATAGGTCGTGTTAGTAATTACTCTGTAAAATTAGAAAATCCCGTCACAAATACAACAATTAGATCCGGGTAAAAATTGGTGAAGAGAGAATTAGAAGAATATAAAAAAAATGGATAAAGCCATAATACTTTAGCTTTATCACGACATTGCAAGGTTGGCCAACTCAACCTATGCTTTAAATTCGGGAAATAATTGGCCAGTTAGGTAGCCCTTGCTATGTAAATGGTCGGATATCTACCAAAAGTAATGATGGAGAGGCACTCATAAATAAGAACATTAATTGTTCTACAAATTGGAAGCGGCATGAGAATTATTTGCACCCAAATGTTGATTATGCAGTCGCTATGGCAATCAATGAAGAACTTTTCACCCAGTATATTGGCGTTTCATTTACGGATCAAACATGTCGAAATACGTTATCACTGAGGTGCTAAGACAGGAAATCCATATGCATCCTATTGGAAGTGATGTAATGTCACTGCTAATTTTACCTAAAGCCAAAGTCTAGAGATATTTATAGCATTTCAGTAGTAACTCTGCATGACAATAAGAAGTCAGGATAAGAGTCGGTGATGGGGGAACTTTGAAACCACTGCCACCTCTCTCCATCTTTCCAAATAAATGCTCGAAATGCAAGGAAAGCTGAAAAGAAAAATCTTGCAACACCTTTTTTGGACCGAAAAAGAAGAATCGGAAGATAAAAGAACCGGAGAAATCTTGAGATGTGAGGGACAGTGATAGTTTAATTTCGAAGAAACTTTTCCACCACCCTAAACTACTATAAATAGACATCATGAGGCTAGAAGTGGATGGCAAATCGTAAAAGAAGGTGGCCTTTGAGTTTTGAGTATGACACGAGAAAAGAGTGAAAACATTGTGCCATACTTGGTGAAAGCTTTAGCACTTAAAGTGAATAAGAAAATAAGTAGTGTTGCTACTCTTGAGGGGTGAGTGTGCATTGCATGCCACCACTTTGATAACATGCTACTAACACATTTGTAGTAAAATAAGTTGTCTTGAATGCCGAGTGTGCATTTGATATTTCTACAAGTAATTCTATTGTTTTAGTTGTGTAATTTATTTATCATTTTGTCCGTGCCAAACTGACAAGAAAGATGAATTGGATAATGATTTGTTGTCTATCCTTTGATTATACAAGGCCATATATATAGGGTATTTACAAGAGATAAAAGGGAAACTAAATCAAGGAAAGGATACAAAAAAGATAACGATAAAGAAGGTTAACAATATCCCATAGTTATAGAAATTATATTCCATAATGATAGGGATTCCTCCTAATCTAATTTATGTACATTTTGACACTCCCCCTGAAACGGAGGAATAGATGTATTCCATTCTCAGCTTGGAAATAAGATCATGAAAACTCGAAGAATTTAGGCCTTCTGTTAGAACATTAGCTAGTTGACTCTTTGAGGGCACAAAGCACGTGCACACTAAACCTCCTAGTTTCTCTTTAATGAAATGCCGATCTACTTCAATATGCTTTGTCCTATCATGTTGAACAGGATTATGAGCAATATGATAGCAGACTTGTCACAATAGAGCTACATTAGACCTTCCCAGTTGATTTGGAAATCATTTATAATAATTTTCAACGATAATAACTTACATAACCCGTGAGAAATGACCCTAAACTCTGATTCTACAAAAGACCTTGCCACCACATTTTGCTTCTTGCTTCTCCATGTCACCAGATTACCTCCAAGGAAAATGCAATATCCTGAGGTCGATCTATAATCCAATTTAGAACCGGCGTAATCAGCATCAGTGTAGGCTTCAAGAGTAAGAGTTTCATTCTCCTTAAATAGAACGCCCTTCCCTAGATTACCTTTCAAGTAATGCAGTACCATGTAGGCTGCTTGAAGATGAGATTCTCTTGGATCATGCATGAACTGCAATCTTTCGGTTGCTAGGTCATGGAGTGTAATTATGAAAAAAATTGGAAGATGTCATATGATCAGTGGCATTAGAATCTATTATCCATGAGTTGACAAGATTACTCGAGGCATTCAGACAAAACGGAAAAAGTGGTTTACCTGAAAGAGTTAAAGAGCAAGTTTTTGATGACTTCTCGAGAGAACCTAAAAAATTCTTTAACCTCTCAATTTCTTCGTTGTTGAACTCTTCTCTTGCTGAATTGTCCTCCGGTTTGGATTGCTCAACAATGTGTGCTTGAGATCTCTGCTGCCTCCATTTAGGCTTTTGTTTCCCCCCATGGGTTCCCCATCACGACTTTGTTGTCCACCACGGTTTCCCCTTTCTCTGCTGGGTGGTTTCCCATTTAACTTCCAGCATTTCTCTTGAATGTCTTGGTTTATTGCAGTAAGTGCACCAAAGACTATCTCTGTTCTCCTGAGTTTCTTTACCCCCGAACTTGGACAGATCTCTCATCTCCTTCTCTTGTTGGTTGGTCCTTGTTGCTAGGGCTGATCCGTCAGCTTGTGGTTCAAGCATGAATTCCTCCTACTTTCTTCTATTCTGATCAAAGAGATCACTTCTTCAAGTGATGGTGTGTCTTCTTTGCCAAGTATTTGAATCCTGACTTGATCAAATTCAGGATTTAAACCAGCCAAAAAATTATAGACTCGGTTTTTTTGAATGAAACTTTATAAGATAGTTGCATCTGTAAGGCACTTCATCTCGAAAATTTGATAAGGATCAAGTTCGTGCCACAAATTTTGCAATATATTTGCATATTTAGTGACAGATTTGTTTCCTTGCTTTGTGGCTGAGGTTTTAACCTTGATCTGGTATACTTGAGCCGCATCACGAGCCTTCGAATAAGTGCGGCAAACAAACTCCCATATCTCTTTTGCAGTGGAGAGAAACATGCATGTGTCACTGATCATTGGGTCCATAGATTCCCATAGCCATGACATTATCATGGAATCTTCCTCATTTCAAGTTCCAAATGTTGGCTCATCTACAGCAGGACCTGCTTCAATGAGGTGTTTGAGTCTCCCTTTGCCCTTCAGGTATGTTCGGACAAATTGAGACCACTTGAGATAGTTTTTTTCATTGAGTCGATATGGTGCCTGGATATTCTGCAGATGTCCAATTTTTTGGACAAAATTGGACTCATCGGAGGAGTTAACAATGGTGGTGTCATTATTTGAGGTTTTGTCATGATGAAGGAAAGGGAATTGCAAAAGAGAATAAAAAGGTCGTTCAATCAAAGGAAATACAACAATTAAGGCTGTTTGATCAGAAACACTTGCAACGATGAAGGTTGCACACTGGGAAGAGCAATTTAGGCTGAAATAAAATAGAACAAGGGTTTTAGATTTCTGAGAGAAACCTAAAGCTCTGATACCATGACAAGAAAGATGAATTGAATAATTATTTGYTGTCTATCCTTTGATTATACAAGGCCATATATAGGGTATTTACAAGAGATAAAGGGAAACTAAATCAAGGAAATCAAGKAAAAGATACAGAAAATATAAYGATAAAGAAGGTAAYWATATCCCATAATTAGAGAAACTATATTCCATAATTATAGAGATTCCTCCTAATCTATAATATGTACATTTCGACACAAACAAACAAGGAGCTGTCCAAGTCATTCAGACAGGAGGAAGAACCATCTGGTCAGCAGGAGGCGTCCAGACCTCAATCTATTATGATAACCTGATTAGTTGAATTGCTTCTTTTATCTCAAAGTTTTGTTTTCTTTTCGGATGAGAAGCAATCACATGTTTGTGCCTGGGGGTCTTGACTCCGAATTTCTCTTACAAATGATTGCAGTTGCTTACATGCTAACGTATTATGTTATCTTGTTCTTGTTTAAACTTTAAGACAGATTCTAACCTCTCTCTCTCTCTCTGTGTTGCAGTATTACAAGTCCTACTTGCAGTGTCTTACAATTCCTATACTTTTTGCTGGGTTTTATCTTCCCCAGGTGAATTGAAATTCTCATATTTTGCAGCTAACCAGCTTGCATTTTAGATCTCAATTTGTCAGGAACAACCGTAATTTTGTTCTTGTTGTAAACTGTACAAGTGCTATGTACAATCTGACTGCTTGTTCTGTACTCGAAGCCGCTATTGATCAATGAAATAATTACTGTTGAACAATTTTCTTGTAATACAAAGAATGGCTTCTACTGTTATTAACAAATTTATCCTCTAACATCCATAAATAAGATGATATCGCTCAAGAACTATTGGTCATGTGTAATTGCTGATGATCAGGTAGCCATTTATCTAGTTTTGATGATATCAAGTTTTCATTATTTGTGATAAATGTTTTTGTTCCGCAAGTAGGGTTACTTCTTCTCTTTCAGTAGCAATCATCCCATTACTTGATGTCGTTAAATCTTTGGTACTTATTCTCTTTTGATATCGTTCATCTCATTTTAGGGTGTAGTTGTTGGTAGGGGTGTTAACAAGCCGAGCCGAATCGACTCGAGTAGCAGGTTATTCTAGTTTGGCTCGAAAAACACTTTACCAGCTTGAGCTCGAGTTCGAATATTTTTTCAATGTTCGAACTCRAGCTCGATACCTGTTATGGGCTTGAACTCGAGAACGACTAGCTCGGTTTTTGGCTCGACCTCAAATTTTTTTACTCGAGCTTTGGAACGAGCTGAGTCTAACATTGGTGTTATGGAGCTCGACTCGTTAATTAGACGAGTTTTAGTGTGTGTTCGATACTCGAGCTCGATATTTATTAAGCTTGAGCTCGAGATACATGAGCTCGTTAAAAGCTCAACTTGTTAACACCCCTAGTTGTTGGACTCAGCTACTAGTGTAATTTCAGTGATTTTCTYCTATCATTTCAGTTTGTTTTAGTTGCAAGYCCTTTCATATATTATTGCTCTMATGTGGTTGGCTGATAAACACTTGATTAGTCATTAAATTTTCTCAGTAGGAACATGTTAAACTCAGATTTTAATAATTCTTTTGCAGGGAAGTTTGCTATACTGGGCAGCTAATAGTTCTTTAACCCTTGTTCAGGTTGGTTTTAATTTTCTAAGACCTCACTGTTTATGAATCCTAATAATTTGGCTCTTGACTTTGATGCTGAAAACTATCCATGCTAAAATTCCACTATCCAGAATAGAKCACCCTTTGTTTCTATGAGTATTTGGTTTGTACTATCCTATAGCTTTCTTACTATAACTGGTAAATCAATCTGGCAGCAATTAGCTTTCAAGCATCCACTTGTTCGTGAGAAGTTAGGATTACCTGACAAGTCAGCTCCAGTGGATCCTAGAAACTCTCGTGAAATGGATGGACTAGAAGCCACGTTCACGGTCCCTTTAGTTAAAAAACCTATTCAAGGCCTATCAGTGCTAGAACTTTTTAACGTAAGTGTTCTTTTTCATTTTAGGCTACTTTGTTTTGCTGATTTCAGTATCAAATTGATGTGCTTCATTTTCATCTTATTGTTTACAGCTCTCTATCAAACACCTATCAAAGGGGGAACAAGATAGAGCAGTTCGACTTCTAAGGTAATTTGTTGCAGTTTTCAGCAAATTAGTTMAAATAATTTTAACATAAATTCTTTTTTCTCAGTAACGGAGATTCAATCTATTGTTGTAATCCAAATGTTATACATTAATTACAGATTGGCACTTGAAAAGGACCCTGAATATGCCAGAGTATTGATCGTTATGGGGCAGCTATTGATGAAGGATGAAAAATTGGCCGAGGCTACTGAATATTTGGAACGTGCTATCTCCAAAGTATGGAACTCTATGTTCACTATATTGATTTTTCCAGATTCATTGGTCAAATTTCTGCTATCTTTAATGAAAATTTTCGTTATAGTAATCATCTTCTTTTAGCAGCTTCTTCTCACAGGCCATCCAACAGAAGTTGAGGAAATTGATCATTTAATTCTAGCATCTCTGTGGGCAGGTGTGGCTCTTGCGAAGCAGGTGGAGCATTTTTTGATGTGTTTGTTTGTTTACCATACTTTAGATTTTACACCAATTTTCAGAATTCAGAGGGTGATTAAAAGTGGTTTAAAATGTATACATCTAGAAAAAATAAGAGAAAAGATGTGAAATTGCATGCACAAACTGGCCTTTAGCATTCTACTTCATCCTCTCCGAAAGAGGTATGTTTCAATTTCTGCTATTGAACCTAGTAATCCAAGAATGATATGAATTTTACTACAAAGAGAACACCAGATGCCTGTACAAAGTTTATAGAAGTTAATTTTGTTTTTCACATCAATTTTGAGGTTGAAAACTAGTTTGATGTATCTCTTCTATCCAGGGTTGTCGGAAGTACTTCCATTTTTAGCATGTTTGCCTGTACCCTCCTGTTTTTTGTTTAGTTCAGATTTCTGGTCTTGGGCAGGGTAAAGTTGCAGAAGGAATCGTACACCTAGAAAGAATAGCAAATATGAAAGAGCCAGAGGATACGAAGAGCAAAACCCATTATTGTGATGGTTTGTTTATGCTTTCAAGGTAAGAATGGTATCACCAAATCGTTCTTTTGGCAAGAAAATTATCCCCTGTGTCCAAAACAAATACAACAATTTCCTTTTCCTTCGCTTCAAAATAAATGCAACGTTTCCTTTCTATGTAAAAATTCAATTCATTGTCCTTAGTAGTCGTTACCAAATATTGGCAAGATTAATTTTGGTGAACAAGAATTCCCCTAATGTGCTCTTATTGTGAAACATTTATAGATATTTTGCTGATAGTCAAACACTCTCGTTAAGGTATCTGTTTTTCTTTCTTTCTATTTGCCTTGCTATTTCTTTYTGGTCTAGCTTTTCAGTTTTTTCACAAGTCAGTATTTCTCCCTTTCATGCGCTTTTTCGATACCCCGTGGGTCTTCACTRAAACTACCATTCTACTCTTTAGGGCAAAATTCAAGTCTGCTTACATCTTACCCCCAGACCCCGCCTCCGGTTTGGTAAACTGGTCTAGTTTGGTTTTGGTTTTTCTCTCATTCAGATATGTTTCAAGTCACGTTGCAATTTTTTGGACTGATGGAGTATATTTTATATGGACTCTACATTTATGTTCTATTTTTCTTTAAATTCATGAAACTAGTTTGTTATTAATCTATCTTTGTATATCTACAGTCGCTGATAACACTGACATATTTAATATAATTTCCAGTGCTTTAGCAAGCATAGGACGCGATGCTGAGGCGGCAAAATATTTGCAGATCTTAACTACTTATGATCCAGCTTACGCTACATACTTGAAAGATCTTGAAAGCAAAGACAACAATTTTGCAGAGGATCTTGCAAATAGCAGGAGAAAAGATTACTGAGAGCACATTTCATAAAAAAGAGTTCAGTTTTCTCTACAAAGGTATGAAAAGTTCATTATAATCTGTCACCCTTTCAACAATTTGGATGGCATAATTGCACAAAAGTATAATATATATTTTTATTTTAGGCATCATACTTTCAAAATACATAAATAAGACTGTTCGCTTTGAATCTAGTAGAACAGGTACCTTGTTTGACTTCTAAAGTCAGAGCATTAGTTAYTTTAGTTCGTTGGTTCTTGATAAGGCACAATAACTTTTTTGTACCTCTTGTTMTTGTGGTAGAGGCAAGGTCTGCGTACATGCTACCTCTATATAAGATATGTTGGGTTGGTTTTGTTTGGCTCTTGCTAGATGATGTAAATTGGCTAATTTCTTTCAAAGCGTTTGACCATCAAAGTCAAATCACTTGTTTTGTTTTCTAGCTAAAAGAACTGTTCATTGTTGAGTCAAATTGTGGTTACTTGCATACAAAGGGATTTCTGTTGAATACATTGGCTTTGTTTGGTTTACAGACAGTGGAACCGAGTTCATTGTGATGTATCAAAATCAGATCCTGGATTTTCTGCTTGTGTTAAGCCGGGTAATGAGCAGAAGATGTTAGAGCTTCTGATTTGATACTCTTTACTGGTTTTTACTTCACTGAAAATAGCCTACGCATAGCTTGGGAAATGGATGCAAGACAAACCAGGATAAATTACTCTCTTAACTCTATTCTTAGTTTCTTTTAGAGTAAACTAATGTTGTTGTGCGATGATACAAATTTATGTAAAAACAATACGACATTTGGTTTTAATGAATATTTTAAATAAATGGACAAAGTTAGATAATCAAAATAACATTATAATTCAAAAAATCTAACTACTCAAATCTTGTTATACAATTCAAACCTTTACCATCTTCCTTTTTATTCATAAATATTCAAATTAAAATTTATTTTTATATCGATTTTTCCGTAAGATATGAATCGAATGCATACTTTAGCCAAATAACCATTTTAATTTTCAAATGCATATTTTCCCCTTTCATATTCGTAATCATTTTACAATCTCTTATGTGATCCATATCGTGAAGTAACATAAACAATACCACAATTCAAATATTATAATATATTTCATACATCTACTATTTTTCTTTTATTATATAATGATTTTCAATCTATCATTTTCCCTATCAATATGAATAACAAAAACAATACCACAATTGAATATTTTTAATACTTAAATCTCATAATACTACTTCATGCCCTACGATCTTCATTTTATGTATACATATATAGATATAAATCTTTACATAAAAGGATCCTACCAAAAAGTACATTATAAGCTATAGTTTTTACTATTGATATTTATCAACATTATGCCATTTTGTATCTAATTAAATAATGTGTGTGTATATGTATGTGTGTGTGTGTATTCTTTTTGCAAAAAAAGGGTCGGTCAAAATTTATATTTTAGCCAATTTATTTTGTATGGTTAATATTTTTTTGTTAAAAAAGAGTTGACCAAAATGAGTTAACCCATGAGCTCGGAGGGTCGGACAAAATAAGCCAACAACATGAGTTTAGAGAATCGGTCAAGAGGAGCCAACCTCATTAGTTGCCACAAAGACATCTCAACCTTCACACTTATACCCACCATTCATTGTAAACCTTTCATATCTCTATCAACGTGGGATATACGGAACTCAACCACAATTCAAGAAATGAAGAATACTCACTCCTTAGGATGTCATCTCATCCCTTGTAAGTTTTACTCTAATTGATTTTGCCATCTACTTGACTTTGATTTCAATCATGGTTTTTCATTACTATAATTTTCATTGTTTGGATGGAAATGGTTTTGATTTCAGTCATGGTTATACATTTGAATGACATCTTTCATACTTTTGTATACATGTAGAAAAATATTTCATAACTATAAGTTTTACTATTTGATTGGCTTTGATAGATTTCAACCATGGGTTTTCTTAAATATAAAAATTACTAGTTAGTTTTGCCATCTGATTGACTTTGATTTCAACCATGGTTTTTCATTACAATAATTTTCATTATTTGGATGGAAATGCTTTTGATTTCAACCATGCCTATACATTTGAAAGACATCCTTCATACTTTTGTATACATGTAAAAAAATATTTCATAATTATAAGTTTTACCATTTAATTGGCTTTGATAGATTTCAACCATGGTTTTTTTCAAAACTATATTTTTATCGTTTGGTTGGAATTGTTTTTGATTCCAACCCACGACTATAGATTTCAAAGACATATTTCTTTTTCCAATCTACCATTTTTCTACAAACATGGAATAATCAAAACATACCACATTTTAATATTTGAGAATACTCAAGTCTTGTAATGTCACCTTACAATACTTGGTTGATCTTTTAATAAGATTTGTTTTATATAATAAACGTTATTTTACAAAAATAGGGCTATAAAAATAAGACAACTCATGAGCCAAACCTCATCAGTTGACCCAATTATCATCTCATCCTTCATTCTTATACATGTCTCTTTATTATATTTTTTCTTCATTCTAGCAAGTGAGATATCTAAAACTCAATAACAATTCACTATTTGAAAATACTTCATTCTCATAATATCAGTTCAATGCCTCTCTGCCACCTCATTCTTTTTGCTAAAATGAGGTTGGCCAAAATGAGTAAGCTCATGAGTTCGGAGGGTTGGCCAAAATAAACCAATAACGTGAGTTTACAGGATTGATCAAAGGACTCAACATCCTAAGTTGTCACAAATTATATAATGCCACCTCAACTCCAATTGTTGTTCTTTGATAATAAAAAAACTAAAACTCCAAAATTAGAGGTGAAACAATAGCTCACATATTTATATTGCTCTTTTAATTTTCAAACCATCACATGCTTATTTTATATATACCTATCATACTCTATCAATGTATCATTTGTTCATCAATGTGAGATTTCCAAAAACCAACGACAATGCAAGATTTTAAAATACACCACTCACAAGATATCATCTCAATATTTTAAAGTTATCTTTTTATATGATATAAACAAACTTAACCACATTTCAAGATTTAATAAAAATACTCAAATCTCATAATGACAATTGCAAATGAAATGATTGATTCATTTGAGCCAACATCATGACTTGCAACAAAAAGAATCGCCTCACCTTTTCATATATGTACACGTATCATTCCTTCTACTTTTTTTCTTCCCTTCAATGTGGGGTAATCAAATTTAACCACATTTCAAGATTTGAGGAATACTCAAATCTCATAATGTCATATCATTTTAGTTGGTTTCTCCTTATATATATATAGATTATATGTTGGGGCGTTGTTCTTTGGCACTTTAATGACTACGGTATGGTCCCTAAAACGCATTAATTACAAGATCGTCCCATGGTATGCTTTTTATCACGAAATGAGTCCCTCATCCTGATGTAACTTGGGAGGCATTTTGGTCTCTTTATCCTATAAAATATGATGTTATATATTTAGTGAATTACCCATTTGGTCCCTTGTGAATGCTTGCTTTTTTTGAATTTCGTCCCTCAAAGTCATAAAATACACTGGTGGTCCAAAAATCGTGTTTCAGAGCCCAAATCCGTCCTTCCCTCTTAACACTGTTAGTTGGATCCATTAAGTTAGTTATATGCTCTTCATGTGAGGGGTATTTTGGTCATTTTAGACGAGGGACCAAAAATGCAATTCATTTTATAACCTTTGTCTTTTATTTTGCTTTGAGTGAATTATATTTTTTTATCCCTTATCTAAATCAACTTTTTTGGTTTTGCTCTCCTATCTATATCAACTTTTTTGGTTTTTGGTTTTGATCCCTAAAATATATATTTTTAGGCCATGAAATTACAATTTTCGACTTATTTTCATGTACATATTTTAAAGGTTATGTACATATAATTTCTTAATGAATTAACTTTAATAAGTTTATAATTTTGAAATTCTTTATACTAATTATATAATTAAATAATATTTTATAATTTTATTATCCCAATACATATTAAAAAACTTTATATAAAATAACAATGCATTCAATGGTATTAATCAAAAAGAGTTAAAAAATTATGAAAAATTATACGTATATGTGAAGAATGATTTTTTCTTTTATTAATATAGAGGTTATGCATTTAAATCTAATATGTAATACATTCAACAAGTTATGAAAAAATCATGTTAGTTAATGGTGAAGTATCGAATTATTTACAGGTTGATGGTTTTACATGTTTGATCCACGTACACCATTTTAATATTAAACTTATTTTAGTTACCATTTGATTTTTCAAGTTTGTTTAATTTTGAATTAATTTAATAATTATAACTATATTTTCAAACAATGATCATTATTAACGAAAACTATAAAATACGTAACAAAAGCAGAATGGGTCCTTAACTAATTCGTGTTTCCATAAACTAATATATTTATGTAAATAAAAAATTGAGATTTTTAATATTATTTGTGCTCCAACATTTTTTTTAAATTGTTCTTCTTTTAAAAGAGAAAGGAAGAGAAAAAACGTATTAATTAAAAAAAAAGAGTAAATTACAAAATTCGTCCATGTGGTTATTGAAAGTTTTGGATTACGTCTCTCAAACGAAATAACTTCACATATAATCACCATAGTTTCACTTTTGTTATGGATTAAACCCTTACTTCATTTCTATTAACCATTGCTCCATTAGGTGTGTTTTAGTTATTTCACATTTTTTTAGTTTTCAATTAAAAACTTAAAAACACTTTATATATATATATATATATATATATATATATATATATATACATTCACTGTTACACACATACACTGAGGCAAACTTGCCCCACATTCAATAAGCTTCTTAGTTTGACTTCCCCCACCATGGCGACCTCCATCTAAGCAAAGATATCTAAGCTTTCTATTTAATTCGTCTCCATAAGGTGGGGAGTGAGAGAAGATTTACAAGAAAATAAAAGAGTGCTATTGAAGAATGTCGGAGAGGGTAAAAGGATTCAGTTACAAACTTGTCGTGTCCATCCCTTGTAATCCCAAGCCCGAACCAAAACCTTTCTGAAATTGTCGGAGTTTACACCACAACGAGTTCCAACACCTAGAAATCCACCTACGTTTACTGTTTCCGATCAAATTTTTCAAAATATGTCGGTGGGATCTTCGATGGTGTCATGGTGGAATTGAGAAGCTGTGACATGTGAGGATGGTTGTTTTCTTCTTCGAACCAAGTAGATAAATCATCAGTGACATTGGTGTGGATGGTGTTCATCTTTATGTAAATATCTGGAATGAGCTTCTTTCATGGATCAATGCCAAGCTTCAATTCAATCTTTCTCGTATTGAAGAGGTTCGTAATCCTTCTCATAATTTAGGTTTTTTTTTCTTTTTGTTTAAGATTATTCGATGTTTTTGGTTCATAAAATTGAAGGGACAATCACAAAAATGGACACTTTGTTAAAAATATATCAGATATTTGCAATCTTGACTTATTTTACTAT